AAGGCCCAAGGCTCAAGGGTCAAGACCCTTTTCTAAGTAAAGAGAATCAATCTTAAGTAGTTTGCCCATAAGGTTCCCAATATGCTTAAGAAACCAGACATCAAAGCATTCAAGTTGTATAGCAGAAACTCTCAACCAAACTACCATACGGGTAATATGCACAATAGCAGGACAAATCCTAGGTCGCCATTTTTGCATTACCAAGTATTGCCCAACTATGATCCAAGGGCCACGAGTCAAGACAAAATTTGTTGTGAAAATAAATAAGACTTTCACTCACCCCCCTAATGATCTTGTTGTTGATGGACTTTGTGACAAACACAATAATGGATGAATCACACACGCACACTTGAGAAACCAACCAAGCACAAAGTGACACAAGAATTTATAGAGGTTCAGCAATTGCCTACATCCTCTTGGTGATCCCCTTGAAAAATTCACTAATGACAGAATAAGTTACAACTTTGGTTTACAAAGAAACCCCCTTAGATTTCTATTCTCTCCCCAAGCTCTCTTTTCTCTCACACCCCTTGCTCAACACTTTGATGCACTTGTGAACACTCTCACACACTTGATCTTTATTTGTAATATACATACATAAATTTTAACTCGTCTGTTTGAACATTGTCAATATACTTTACAAGTTTGGAATGTCCTTTGACAACTTTAGCATTAAATCTCCATCAGCCAAGTTTCTCCTTTATTCCTTGAACATGTTTTTATAACTTGTTGAAAACTTTGAGATAAAATAATTAATTTTAAAAAAAATAAAGAAACGTGATGGGCTTGCTCATGTTGTTCACCGGGGTTGGAAGAAGATTTTGGTGGAAGGTGACTCTAATGGAATGTTTACTAATCCGTAATTGGATTAGGATGAATTGAATTGAGGAGGAGTTGGATTGAGGAGAATTAGATTCGGGATTTCTATTGAAGTTGTTTACTAAACCATATGAATTGAAGAGAGTTAGATTCTGAATTCCTATTGAAGTTGTTTACTAAACCATATTGAATTAGGATAGGAGTGGAACTAACTACTTTTTATTTTTATTTTTATAATAAATAAACCAAAGGATTAGGCAAGATTAGCTCCTTGATGCCCTCGTTGTTGGGTTAAAGTATATGGCAAATTTTAAAAATTTAAAATTATGTGAGGATATAATGGGTAAAAAATATGAATTCCTAATGAGTTAGTTTTTCAGGAATTAGAATACCACATCCCAGCCAAGAATTGAATTCCTCCAAAATCAGGAAGGTGTTTCCCCTCCTTGGTGTCTAGACTCTCAAGACCCCAACTCAGCTCCTAACTTGAGCTGATTGCCCTCTCTCTCTTCCTCCCTTGGTGAGTTTAACCACTTGGACACACTAGCTCCCAGCTACTTGACCACTCCTTCTTGGGTTAAACCACACTTGCTGTCTTGCATCTTCTTTCCTTTTGTAGATAGGTCTTTGGACTTAGGAGAGGGCTGCATTTACTTCTGCACGTTCTCACTTCAGCCACCCATCTAAACCATAGGTTAGGCCAGCCAAAAGCAAGCCATTAATGCACCCTTTAGCCACCTTATAGCCACCCTATCTAGAAAACCTTTGAGGATTAGGCAAGATTAGCTCCTCGATGCCCTCGTTGTTGGGTTAAAGTATATGGCAAATTTTAAAATTTTAAAATTATGTGAGGATATAATGGGTAAAAAATATGAATTCCTAATGAGTTAGTTTTCCATGAATTAGAATACCACATCCCAGCCAAGAATTGAATTCCTCCAAAATCAGGAATTCAATTCCTAATTTTATATGGGCTCCACTTACTTTTTAATTCCTTGATGTAAAGTAAACTTATGAATCCTCTAAATGTGGAATTTAATTACTGATGAGAATTAGAATTCCTAATTAGTAAACGCACCATAAAGTCGTAATTGATTGTGTCCTAAAAAAAACTTATATCCCATAGTTTGTCAATATGTTAGTTCAAGATGAGTGCCACCTGAGCTTTTTTGGTGATACTATTCTTTTTTTTCATGTTTTCCGAGAAGCAAACTTCATTGCCGATGCCTTCACTAATTTAGGCCATGGGTTGTCCCCTTCCTTTCTGTGGAAGAGTGGGGCTTCCTCTTTTTGTTGCTCTTCTTTTTCGACCTCTTTGAACCTGCTTGCCCGCCAGGTTTGTTTTGGTTTTGTAATTCTCCTTTTCGTATTATATATATCTATATATGAGTCCAACAGCAAATTATTATTTTAAAATTAATTTAGATGGTTTTGTTTATATTGCTGGTAATGCTGCTGTAGATTTTGTAATAAAGAATCATCATGGAAATTTAATTGTCGGTGATTCTTTTCCTATCGGATTTGCATCTCTTTTGCACGCTCCACATGCTCTTTGTCAAACACTCAAGTGGACTCTTCAATTTCAATTCTCAGGAGTGGAAGTTAAAAGCTAATTCTAAACTCTTGGTATAGACTTCTAATAAGAAAATACAATTACTTTGCAGTATAAAATCTATCGCAAAATATTTGACATCTATTGAAGCTTCACTATGGATATTTTGTTTATTTTTAGTAGCATTACCTACTTTATTGAAAGAAAAAAAAAGAAAAAAAAGATGTGCCATTAATCACAATAGTTTGTTAACGAGATATAGTCCAGTAAAGAAGGATATTAACTTATAGACCACTAGTCTCATGTTCGAATTCTCATGGTGCCTTAATAGCGTGTATAAAAAAACTCCTTGAAATAAATAGTGATCTGGACAAAGTAATGGCTAAGTAGCCGAATGTACCTCGAGTTGTGTATCGATGGGACTCTGGGCATTTCCTGAGAGGGTGCCACGTGTCCATGTGAGAGATCACTGGTGAGGCGTCTTCTTTTGGCGTGATCTACATGATAGGTTGCCAAAGGCTCACCTCCTGCCAATAATACTTCATAGGCCTTAGTGTTTTGTTGGGCTTTGTGGGCTCTTCTTGTGGGTTCTATGTTCCACATGTTGCGGAGTAATAGGTCGGTCAAATATGGTATAAACATATTTAAACACTAGAGATCGAAAAGTTTTGCCACTCTAATATTACACATCTCTGCAGGTATGAGCTTAGTCAAGTTGGCAAGAGCGAATTTGCTCTTCAGCACCCGAGTTCTAATCCCCCTCCCCGTAGTTTATATTATATTAAAATAGAATATTATTTATATATAAAAAAATATATTACAAATCTTTATTTGTAATATACATACATAAATTTTAACTCGTCTGTTTGAACATTATCAATATACTTTACAAGTTTGGAATGTCCTTTGACAACTTTAGCATTGACTTCTAATCAGAAAATACAATTACTTTGCAGTATAAAATCTATCGCAAAATATTTGACATCTATTGAAGCTTCACTATGGATATTTTGTTTATTTTTGGTAGCATTACCTACTTTATTGAAAGAAAAAAAAAGTAAAAAAAGATGTGCCATTAATCACAATAGTTTGTTAACGAGATATAGTCCAGTAAAGAAGGATATTAACTTATAGACCACTAGTCTCATGTTCGAATTCTCATGGTGCCTTAATAGCGTGTATAAAAAAACTCCTCTTCTTTCTTAACTTTGAAAACTTAAATAAATAAATAAATAAAACAATAGATTCATGCGATGGCCAATTGGATTTTCATAATTTTGATTATATTAAAAATACTTAAATAATACAAAGAAGTGCATATTTTTTATTTTTTATTTTTTTTCAAAAGATAAAGATTTTTTTTTTTTCTCGAAGACTATAACTATATAACGAGAGTTCGTCTAAGAAGCCCTGCATTGTCTGCATTGCTCTATTTCACGCCACACCATCTGATTTAATTTCTCACACAGCCTTCAATTACAAACGTCCGTTGTAGTTTGGTTCAGAATTCGCCATGGAAGACGACTTCGAGTTCCCTGCTGCCACCAACAACCTCAACGACGCTGACATGGACCTTCCCGATGTGGAGGACGACGCAATTAGCCCAAGCCCCAAGGTTGGTGAAGAAAAGGAGATTGGTAAGAATGGCCTGAAGAAGAAGCTTGTTAAAGAAGGTGAAGGATGGGACACTCCGGGCTCAGGCGACGAAGTTGAAGGTATATAATAAATGCATATACATATATGTATGTGTGTGTGAGGATGGGACATGAGTGTTTGTTGTTGGTATAATGGGGTTTGAGGCTTTTGGTGTTGATGTGTTGGTGTTGATTTTGCAGTTCATTACACTGGGACTTTGGTTGATGGAACCAAATTCGATTCGAGCCGTGATCGAGGGACACCTTTCAAGTTCAATCTCGGACAAGGTGATTCGTTTACACCTTCTCATTGTTTTCAATTATTTGATGTTACAAACTGTCAATGTTGTTAAGTTTGTAGATTGAATACTTGAAATCTGTACGTCTGAAACCAAATTTGTGCTTAAAAGAATGAAAAGAACCTTCAGTTCAAAAACTAGAAACTACCACAACCAGCAAAATTATGGAGTTTTTATCAAAACCCGCAACAACTTACCTTTATTTTCTTTTTCAAAGTATGGAACTTTTTAAGAATAGACAATTCTTTGTCATTATATAAATGTTCTGTATAACTGCTATTTTTTATTGATAAAGAAAAAAGACATAGCAGTTGCTATTTTTGAAATATGGTTTTCCGTGTAGTTAGAGCGTTTTCATGGGTCATGATTGAGTGTGTTTGGTTTCTTTGAGTTATATGAATGTTTGTATAATTGCAGGACAAGTGATCAAGGGATGGGATGAAGGAATTAAAACCATGAAGAAGGGTGAAAATGCCATCTTCACCATACCACCTGAGTTGGCTTATGGCGAGTCTGGATCCCCTCCTACTATTCCTCCCAATGCCACACTTCAGTTTGATGTGGAGTTGCTTTCCTGGACGAGTGTCAGGGACATATTGAAGGATGGGGGAGTTATTAAGAAAATTCTCACAGAAGGAGAGAAATGGGAGAATCCAAAAGACCTAGATGAAGTGTTTGGTACTTTTCCTATGTTTTCCCATGAGTAGAAAAATTGATGAATGGAACTGAATTCATCGGGTTCTTACACAATTCTTTGTTGTCATCTCAGTTAAGTATGAAGCTCGGCTTGAAGATGGGACCCTTGTTTCAAAATCTGACGGGGTGGAGTTTACTGTCCAAGATGGTATGTTTCATTGCCTTTTTCTCATAGTAATATGTTTACTTGCCTTACATGAATTATTTTTCGAGTAATCTGAATGTGGTTTCTCTCTTGTGCAGGCTTTTTCTGTCCTGCCTTAGCAATAGCTGTGAAGACAATGAAGAAAGGCGAAAAGGTCCTTTTGAATGTAAAGCCACAATGTGAGTACTTTCGCTATATGCTTATATGTTAATGGTTCGTTTTGTTACACTATTTGACTGTTTTCACGAGACATGGAATTTAACGGCTATAATTTTTATAGATGGATTTGGTGAGGTGGGCAGACCGGCTGTAGGAGATGAAGGTGCAGTACCTCCCAATGCATCCCTTGAGATTACACTTGAGTTGGTCTCCTGGAAAACAGTTTCTGATGTTACCAAGGACAAGAAAGTCCTGAAAAAGACCTTAAAGGAGGGAGAGGGGTATGAGCGCCCAAATGATGGGTCAGTAGTTCAAGGTAATATGAGGACTACATTAAAATTTAGGCTATAATGTTATATTCCTTAATTTTGTGAAAACTCAAAAGTTTTTTTGTTGTTGTGTCTGCCAGTTAAACTTGTCGGGAAGTTGCATGACGGCACAATCTTCACAAAGAAGGGCCATGATGATGAACCATTTGAATTCAGGATAGATGAAGGTAAACTAACAGTACTATAACTTGTTGACCACTCTTTGTACTTAGTTTGAGAAACTGGTTCGAGTTATGATTGAAGTATGATACTTAAGAGTGGAGTTGTTGCGCAGAGCAAGTGATTGATGGACTTGATAGAGCTGTGAAGAACATGAAGAAAGGGGAAGTTGCTCTGGTGACCATTCAACCAGAATATGCTTTTGGGTCATCTGAATCTGCACAAGATTTGGCTGTTGTTCCAGCAAATTCAACTGTGTATTATGAGGTGGAGCTGCTCTCCTTTGTCAAAGTGAGTATGATATACTTCCCTAGTGACATTTGGAATTTCCTGCTTGTGAAAAAGTTGGACTCAACTTACGTTACTGGCCGCAGGAGAAAGAATCTTGGGACTTGAACACACAGGAGAAGATAGAAGCGGCTGGGAAGAAGAAGGTAGAAGGCAATGTGTTATTTAAGGCTGGTAAATACGAAAGGGCCTCAAAGAGATATGAAAAGGTATACTTAGTTTACTTGTGCTCTGGTTTAGATGATACGAATTTTTATTTTGACATGTACAACATCTCACGAAAACCTTCTATTCTGGTGTCAGGCTGTGAAGTTTATTGAATATGACTCTGCTTTCAGTGATGAGGAGAAGCAGCAATCAAAGATGCTGAAAATCACTTGCAATCTGAATGATGCGGCATGCAAGCTCAAACTTAAAGACTACAAGCAGGCCGAGAAGCTCTGTACAAAGGTATGCCTTGCTGATATCCCACATCTCATGTGACGTGCATGGCTGGTTGGTGTACTTTCTGTTCTAATGTGTGAGAGTTGTGATATGCAGGTTTTGGAACTTGACAGTCGGAATGTGAAGGCCTTGTATAGAAGGGCACAAGCATATATCCAACTTGTTGATTTGGACTTAGCAGAGCTGGATATCAAAAAGGCCCTTGAGATAGACCCAGACAACAGGTCTGTTTCGTTGTCACTTGATGCTAAATGGAGTTTTTCTCATGCTGCTTCTTATTATGATGTTCGTTTATCGGACGAGACTCCAATGTCTGTACTGCTGGTGTTAATGTGGGATCTCTCTGTGTTTTCAGGGATGTGAAACAGGAATACAAGGTTTTGAAGGAGAAAGTAAGAGAGTACAACAAGAAGGATGCACAGTTTTACGGTGCTATATTCGCGAAAATGAACAAATTTGAGCAAGTGAAATCAGCTGTAAGTTGATTTCGTGTTGAATTAATTCGCTTCCGGAGTTGAAGTGCCACTTTCCATTACTGATGTTTTTGTGTTCGTTTGTGTGGTTTATTTTATATGGACTTGCAGAGTGGAGGAGCCAAACAGGACACGGTGCCAATGACCATTGACAGCAAGGCATAAACATAACCCTTCCCCGTCTTTTCTATCATGTAATTGAGACAAACTTGAGGTTGTGGCTTTTTGAAAATTAATAATGCAAACCTCAGATTTCTTGTACAACGAACGCATACTTTTATTTAATAACATAAGATGATCGCTTGTAAGACAGTTTGTTCAATTTTCGCGTTTGTGTTTTGGTCAATGGCAGCATGTAGATATAATGTTGATCGAATAAAGCAACGATAATTGCATTCGGACTGGTCTTGTTGAACTTAAGCATGCCTAAATTAGTTGGAAAAGCAAGCAGAAAGCTGCAAACCAATCAACCACACAGAAGTAAAGTGGGAACTACAATTAGCCATGGTTATCATTGTCATCTATTTTATCCCACGTTCCTTCAACCCGTTCAAGAAAGAAAAAACAAAGAGTGACCTTTTTGTACAAGCGATATTTGGGTTGTATAGAGGTTACTGCTCTTAACTACTTGAGTTACAAGTCTCCACAAATTGCAATCAGGCGAGTTTTGGTTAGGATTTGTTTAACATAAACAAAAGGGTTCGATGCTATCCATCTCTTTAAAAATTAAAACATGTAGTGAGGGAATCTCACCAAATATAACGCATACAAATACAAATGAGTATATTGTTGTTTTCAATTTGTCTAAATGAAGAGAATGTGTATAATTGTTCATACCAAATACAGAAATACATAACATGACATGCCATCATAGATTTCATATTGTTCAATGAATACTATTCCTACTTTTGTGTTTTTCAAAACAATCACTAATGAGAAGTTCCGTACAGATCTTGAACTCCCTTACTGACGTCGAATGAAGTGCACGGGTTTCCATACCCCGATCTACACATTCCCAATATAAATGTTTGTGCTTTTTGTAGCGTTTGAGCAACGGGTGAAATATATTCACACCATCAATTAAAGATGGAGGGAGATGGAGGATTTTCTGCTCCCGTTACAACTTGGATAAGGATCATCCACTCTAATATTAGCACCATAACAACGCTCAAACAGTTTTCCTCCATTGCTTTTACACACATTAATTCCTTTTGAAATGTTTCTTCTTTTGAAACTTAATTCCTTTTTACGAATCAAAATATCATATATATATGCATGTATCGATTAGGTACAAGCAATGTTAACTCTTCAGGTTTGAATTTGTATTGATCAAAATTGAATGGGAATGACTTTAGGATTTGTTGTAACGTAGTGTATAAAATATTATAGACAATGCATGACAAACACTAAAAGGTAATTAAATTATTTTGAATCATAAACATTTGACCTCTTGGTAATATTTTGAGTAATGATCATCTTGTTGTTGCCAATTATTTATTTGGGTTGTTGTTTGCTTCATGGGTAATTAATCTAGAAAAGTGGAATTTTTTATTTTTTATTTTTTATTGTGGAAAGAGGAAAATTACAAGCAAAAACCACGAGGGCACGCAGGCCCAAACATGTCAAAAAAGAAAGGAACATAACAATTTAGAGGCAGCCCTAACTCCCACAGCTTGGAAGGATTCAGCCCATGGCCCAAGCTTGCAACAACATCAGTTGAGAAGTTCGCCTCACGGAAGATATGACGGAAAGAGATTCACAAAAGTAACTGAAAAGCACTATATCCTTAATCAAAAGAATGATACTCCACGGGGGTATAGCTTTCTGATTAACACAGTTAATAATAAGTTTAGAATCCCCTTCGACTAGAACTTTGAGCCAATCTCTATGAACCGCATAAGCAAGACCATCTCGTAAAGCAATACATTCTGCCACAGAAATGGTGTTGTCACCAATATTCTTAGCACCAGCTAATAAAACATGACCATCAGAATCTCGAATAACAAAACCAATGGCAGCTGAGTTAATACAAACAGAACCATCAAAGTTTAATTTGACCCACCCACACGAGGGAGGTTTCCATTTAATGTGAAGCGGTGTTTTAGGCCCCTCCACACCCTTGAAATTTTGGTGCCAATAATCCATTCCAACCTGCCCAGCCACAGTAAGCAGACGAACAAGATGTGGGGTAATATCTGTTAATTATGTAGTCAATTAATGTGTTAATTATGTAGTCAATTAATGTGTTGATTATGTAGTCAATTAATGTTTGGCACCTACTATGTTTGGCACCTACAATATTTGGGGGGCTTGACTAGGTTGGTTGCCTAACTTGGTTGGTTGCCTAACTTGGGGGCTTAGGAACTTGTATATATATGTGTTGATTGTAAGTAATGTGAGACATAAGAAAGAATTCTAAAACCAGAAAATTATCTTCTCTCATTCTCACATTCTCATATTCTAGCTTATCTCTACACAAATCTCTACACTTTGTTTGGCAATATCTTTGAAAATAAGGTTATTTCTAATTTCTCTGATTTGCCAACATAACATCAAAGCTTTGGAGATAGTGTTACGGCCTCCAAAAGTAGTAGTAGATGGGAGTGTACCCAACCATGTGAGAAGATCAAATTTTGAAGAGGTAGTCACGGGGCCAGGTTGAGGCAGCTCCAAACACTTTGAGCAAAGGGACAGGTAGAGAAAAGATGATTAATGGAAAAGTGGAAAGTTTGTTGGGTTAAAATAAAGGTAAAATAGGAAAAATCTTATTAAATAATTGTTTCTCTCTCATAATAATGTCATCAAAAAAATAAAAAATAAAGAATTAACTATAGTTAAACCCATGAACATATGTCAACTTTTAGAAATGATGGTGAGGGCACACCTTCGATTAAAGTAGCAAAAATACTCCCGACCCATTAGGATCGAATCCCTATGAAGATCCTTACCCGTGGGAAAAATTATCATCCCTACACATGGGCTTTCTCATTGACCTATAACCAACAAAAGTATAAACCTAATTGAGCTAGCCCAAAACTAAAATAGTTCATTTATCATATGTTGATTACAAAAGATTTCCTTGAGTTAAACCCACTATAAAGCAAAATGTCTTTTTTGTTATATTTTCGAATAACCCTAAAATTGCTCGCATTAAGAAATATTTTTCAAAACATAAAAATCACATTTTAAAGGGATATATACGTAAAATAATAGTTTATTTTAATATATAAAAAAATTAAGAAAGAAAATGAGCTTTCATATTTAACAATAGTTAAAAAGAAAACCTTATTGGCATGTGCTGACGTCACGCGCATGTTGAGAGACTAATAGAATACAAGCACATGAATGTAATATATCTAATGCAGGAGACTAGCTAATACAAGTCGTTGATCCAATATCTAATGCATATGCAAGGCTACAACGTTATTTTTTTTCTCTTAGCTATTACAAACATGGCTTTATTTCACTTGTGTTAATAATTTTTAGGTATTTGAATTCTAAGATGAAGTGAACATATGAAGCTACCCGTCACACCCTAGTACACAATTTATTTAACCTTGGTGTGGAAAAATGAAGTGTACACAAAACTGACACTTTTCTCCATCTAACAAAACACTTTCAAGTTAAAGCAAAACTATTGAGAAGTGTTTTGCTTTTCTACAGCCATAATAAGTCACTTTCAAACAAACCCTAAATTACTCTAATTTACAGGGAGGGATTCGAACTTGAGTGCAAAGGGGCGAGCTCATTGCCCTCGCCATCGGCACACTTCTACAACACCACCAAAAGATCCAAAAAAGCCTATCAACATAACGGTTGGCAAACCGTCAGTCCACAAATATCATACTATCAGGCGAAATATATTAGCTTCACTATAAATATAATACACAGATAATAGAGGTAAGATTTGCTGACTTCTTTCCTGTAAACTTAGGATGGCTTTGGTTTCACCAAAGTTGCATAAAGACGAGAAACTTTCATGCTCTTCATACCCTTGGGAACATTGAATAAGAGAACTTTATTGAGCTGGAAGCATAACTCAAATGATGTTTCCTGACTTTGCGAAGTAAAACAAGTTCAAAATATTCGTATGGTCAATTCCACAGCAGCCATCAGAACCACCAACAAAGCCGCAATCCTGCTCTAACCTAAATCCTGTAGCCTTGGTGCTAGCTTTCACATATGAGTAAGCAGGATGAGAAATGGGTTGGTTAACTTTGCAGGAATGTAAACTATTTTGGCCTGTTATGGTTAACAGTTAAGACATTTAACTCATGCCGATGTTTTGACTTGAATCCGGATCACCACTAGCACCTGGCCAAATTGTGCTTGATCACTAGTTCTTTAGTGTTCCAGCAGGGTCTTAAGCAAGCACCTTGCTGTTTGCATACTGATATTTATCACTAGTAGTGACTCCTCTCCTTAGTGGGTCTTTCTATAACTCCTTGGTGCCTTTCCCAATTGCAAATCTTAATAGTGATCATGGCTAGTGGATCTCTCACGGCGATGGGACTTGTGCCGCTTGTGAGAACGATCATCCCTATCCCTTGAGGTCCTCTTGTGAGAGCGCTCTGCTCTGTCAATGGAGTTCCTGTTGCGATGGTGTTCTGTCTCAACAGAGCTCCTTTTGAATGAATGGTCCTCTGAGTCCATGGATCTTTTGTGAGACCTTTCTTCCTTCTCCACAGGACTGCTTTTGCGCATGTTCACTCCCCTCTCCATGGACCTTTTATGAATACCTTCCTCCCTATCCACAGAGCTCCTTTTCCTTCTGGGTGGGGATGGGACCTACAAACATAAATAAGAAACAAAGACTGTGATAGAAGTTTCGAAGTAGAGGTCTGGTAATGCTCCAAAACTAAATTATCTAGATTGCTTTGATATATGCTGCAGAAATTGGGAAGAAGAATATACATTCATGAGGAACCATACATGTACTCCACTAGTGTAGAAACTATAAATATATGTATGTATATATATTATTTCAAAAGTTAATTAATTTGTATCTACATATCAAATGTTTAGTTGAGCTGAGATTGTAGCAAATGCAGGTTAGTATGCACCTAATTTATGACGAACCATGCATGGCTAACAGGGCCAACAGAAAAATACCTGATAGCGTGACATGTATCTTCCTTCTGGAGGAGGTGGGATCCCAAGTCTCTCTAAATCATCATATGGGATTGGACGCCTGGTTACCCAGAAAAATAAAAGGTTTACAGTCATTAACACCACAAACAAAAGCACAATGCAACTTTCCATAACAAAACTATGAAAGATTAAAAATTTACATGTATGGCCTCAGAACCCTAGATTATCTCTGCCT